ACGTATACACGCCCGGTTGTTCGTTTATGTCCTTTACCAACTCAATAACATATTTATCACAACTACACTTTACACTAAAATTAGAATAATAATTTAAGATTAAGTATAATATGTAGTTTAATGTATGTAAGTATATATATTTTAGTCAATTAGTAAATTCCGCTTAATTCGCTATAACACAAGTAAGTGTTTGGATTATTGTTATTCTCGCCTTTATTATGATTGTTTTAAAGGTGACCCTTTAAGGGGGGGTGGATATGTTAACGCCATCTATCGTAAGCTTGCGAAAACACATTTACCTTATCCCTTCCTCTAAACTCACCTGTTGTCGACTTCGTCCGCGGCGCTGCCATCGCTGCAATTCGAACCAACGGACGAAAAAAGGGCAACGGGCTGTGTGTGCTCTGATCGCCGAGAGGAGACACCAAGAAACTCCCACGACGAGAAAAAACCGCGCTCCGGAGACGCTTTTCGCCTACACATATTTCCGCCCCGGGGCCCGCGAACATCCCGCGAACATTAGTGTAAAAAAGAAATAGTGGCGCGCCACAGACGAACATTTCCAGGACAGGAAGAACAGGCGTCAAGGAACCAGCCCAACAAACCAACAGGTACCCCCTTTCCCACAGTTTCCCTCTAGTTTTTGTGTTTTCTTCTTGTATATAATCGCACATCCGCGCCGGGAATTTGTTTTGTTTTATGGCGTGACCAAAATAAACAAATCAAAAATTTTTTTTCTAAATTAAATAATCAAACACGTCAAGAACTTACACATTTATATTTAGAAAACTAACAAATATTTACAAATAATAATGTACTTTGGTACAAATTAAAATAGTAGGCTTAACTGTTCTTCCAGGGCCCAAACGGTAATACTTCACACTAGGTTAGGTTAGGTTAGTTTTGTGACCAGAACGCGCGAGCCGCGCGAGCAAAGCGAACTTGCCGCGGCAACGGCAGCGGCCGGCGAAGCGCCAGAAAAAAAAACTCTATTAAAAGAGACCTTTTCTACAAAAGAAATTCAAGTAACACCTCTTGGGCCCTGGCAGTACAGTTTGACAGTATATCTTTGTACGGCATTGATTCTCATCCGCACTTTGTACCTCAACCGCAGTTTCCAGAATGTCAATTTTGACAGCCAGTAATAGTCCACAGATTTCTTTTGCGTAGTCATCCTACTCTCCTTAATTTGTTTCGTCGAAAACCCTTTTGTTATCACTGTCTTCCACATTAAATAACGCATTATGCACTTTTCACTGCGAGAAACAACATTGTCGGCAGCGGCCGCCATATACATATATAAACAAAGCGCTTGCAGCGCCTCTACCGGTAATTAATGTAACTACTTTACAATATCATCAAATAGTTTTTGCCATTTCATGAAGTAGCCGCGCGTTTAGTTGGCCATATCGTGAAACGATTTTGTCATCATTGATCTGCCCAAACCACATCATGATGTGACCAATAGATAGTGAAACATTTCATGAAATGCGACCATTTCATGAAGTTCTCGAGCATTTCATGAAGTGAGCAAATCTACGATATGTCCACGACATATATACAACATCGAGTGATCTTAATCAAATCCATTGTCCATAGCAAGACAAAGATTCAGACACGAATAAAACATCTTATTTAGTAAATCCTCCACGGTGACATTTAAATCAGGTTTCTTTTTGAATAATAATTCTGTCAATCTGAGTTTTGTTGAATTTTTTGCATTCCAATAAATATAAATTATTGAAATCGTCATAACACGGGTTTTACCAAGCATAAGTTTTCCTTTTTCATGTCAGATTCCAAATGGTATGTCAGGCATTATTTCCGATGATGTCGAGACCATAACAATGAGTAGTTTTTGACACTTTGTGAAGATTGCAAGGATTTAAATGAATTCACACTCACATTATGATCTTTATAATTGGTGATGTAGTGATTGTTTTATTTGAGGATGCTTTATCATTGTCTTCCGATTCTTCACTGTTTGAATCAGTAGAATCGTCACTTGAAGAGTACGAAGATTCATTGTTATCAATATTTTTTTTCAATACGGGTTTTTTGTCCGTTTCTGTTTCATGTTGATTTCTATAATTTTTATTAACTATCACATTGAGCGGATCAACAATAAGTTGAAATGTCACAGCGATCTATTGAAATTCGATTTATTGAAATTTCGATCAAATAGCAAATTGATATATCGAGTTTTCGGTGAATTGTCACCGATCAACTTGCATTCGATGTACTGGCATTCGATATCTACGCCATGACGTAGAAAACCCGAACAAAACGCTACATAAACAGTTTGGTTGCTAGCAAGCAACGAAACTTGAGTGGGAAATGTATTAAGTTAATAAAGATACAGTAAGTGAAAATATTAATCCCACCAAAACCATTCTGTAAAAAACTAGCCAAGTCTTCATCAGATACTTCAGACCTTCGATTTTTGACATCAAATGAAGCTGCCCACCAAGTTGAATATTTTTTGTAAAGGCGGTATGTCGATCTCTTCTAATAGTTTGGTTGGTGTTTTCTAATCAGGGTCACCAGGTACTCCAGATCTTCGATTATCCTAGTTTTCCCTTTATGTGGCCATTAAACCCTAACTCTGTACCAAATTTCAGCTCTCTGAGTTTATGGGAAGTACTAGTTCTATTCTGATGATCATGAGTGAGTGAGTGAGTGTCATAAATGCGAAACTTTGCTTTCGCTTTACTTCAGAACTACATGACCTACAGACTTGAAATTTTGGATATTAAGTATAGCTTATTGGATGACGAAAATTACTGCGTTCTGGTCTTATCCACAGATTCTCAAATAGGGGCATGAAAATGCGGCGAAATGGTTCCAGTAAAGGATGGTACGGCAATGTTTGCTTCGCGCTCGACTTGGCGGGCACTGCCGTGTCCCCCGATAAAGAATAAGTTATGTGATAAAATTTAGTAGCTTACGTTCTTAAACAGACATCGGCGTTCGACAAAAGTGCGAATTATCAATTTAATTGCTGCAAAAACACAAAAGAAAATGTTTTCGATAAAATATCACTTTCCCAATCTTATATCACATTTAAGACATTTAAACTTTTAAGTATTGGAGATAGAATTAAAAAGCGGATTTGTCAAAGTAGTTATTACAACACCAGGAACATAACATAGATACTTTAAATACCTGTTACCATAACTAAAATAGTCCATGATACTTGAATTCGGTGTTGGTGATATTTGTGGGTGCTCATAATATGCTTAAATTTTAATATTATTAATTACTAATCAGTGCTCTATACCGTTGAAAATTGTTTTATTTAATGAATGGTGTGTGTCAAAACCTGAGAAACAAATATTATTAGTGACTATTAGAGTGGTCTGCAGAAAAGGTTGCCAGAACTTTTGGATGGAATAGGAAGATTGGGCCATGACCCACCATGCGGGCCCAGTGCGGTTTGGTGGGTGCTGACGATTGCAGATGCAGCCGGGACCAACGCTTAGCGTGCCTTCCAGAACACAGACGAGCTCGATATAATAAAGTTTTTGTCACCCATCCAATGACGGACCACTGCGAAAGTTGCTTAACTTCAACTATCGCGGCCCGCGTAGTGGGTCATGGCCCAAACTCCCTATTCCATCCATAGGGAAGGTCTGTGTCCCAGCAGTGGGGACATTAATATGACAATCGATCGGCTTATCGATAGTATCAATACTATACCAATACTATCGGATGAGTTAAATACTATCGATACCATTGTAGTTCGTTAATAACAAACTATCGATAGTATCGATACTCTCGACTTTATTTGCAACCATACTATCGATAGTTTAACAATTTGCAATAGTATTGTTTCCAATTTTCAGGTATTATAGTCAATCACAAACTTTTAGCTAAAACAATCGCTAGTATCGATACTATCGATAGTATTGTTGCAGATAAAATCAACACTATCGATAGTATCGATACTATCAATAGTTTGTTATTAACAAACTACAACAGTATCGATAGTATCTATAGTATTGCACTCATTCGATAGTATTGCCTTGTTTTGAGCTATCGATAAATTCGATACTATCGGTTGTATCGATTCTATCGATAGGCCTATCGATAGGCCTATCGATAGGGTACATGATTTTTGATGTAAACTGTCGCTAGTTTTAATATCGGTAGTTCGGCAACACTAGACGCAATCAGAACCAAGTTTTGGTCAAGTCAAATGTGGCTCGCCTGCCCCGCCTACACGGCCCTTCTTACCACTTTCTGTGTTCTGTGGCACAGGCAGTTATATCATGTGAATTTTGTCGTTAATATTATATCGTGTGACATAAATCTCAAAGAAAGTTAAATAAAAAATTGACAGTTTTCGATAAATTAACCTCTGGCTGTCTGTACTTGAAACCCTAGACACTTTCCTACTTTTGCCTTAGGGTGTTATTTGAACGGTTAGCAAAGTATCGTATTTTTGCTAGCAAAAAATATATGTGGTTAGCTAAAATAGCTAGTTAGGCAGCAACTCGTGGGTAGCTTATATTTCTAAATCATTTTGTGTTCGTTTTGCCTTTGAGTTTCGTTATTTTCCATATGGGTGCCCACTTTTAACGAACTCTGTTGATTTTTCAATAAAAACGCAATCTGACTATTTATATTACTAACCAAAATTTAAAAATGCACACCATTCAAATACACTGCTGAAAGAAATGTTTGCTCTTCTGCTCAAATTCTTTAATCTTGCTGGCCTAATAATTATTTTGCGGTGTGACTATTTATTTTACAGATACATAATAAAAGAAGCAGTACATATATAATCTTTGTATGTTAGTCAAATAATTTTTAGGCTGCTATTTATGCTAAGTAAGAGTTTTAAATGGCATACCGAATAATTACTTCTTTCTGTACATCACTTAGTTTAATATGTTTCAATATATTGTATGTAAACCTCTAAGTTGAGAATGTTGAGAAAACTATTACTTAATATGTTAAAGGGAAGGTAGGATTTACAAAAGCAACGAGAACATTACCTTGTTAGCTGGACTTTCCATGATGTCTGCCAGTGAGGAGCCGAAGGCTGCTTCCGCTGTCAGACTATCGGCTGATCTCCAAGGAGGCCGTACGTGCATCGGAGTACCGGGGAGTGCCGACTCATGACTCTTACGAGGCTTTGCCTGCTCAAGAAGTTGTATGTGTAATCTCGTTTGTCTCTCAAGAAGCCAATTGATAATATATTTGTTTATGTTGAAAGTGTGGCAAACCAGGGCTTGAAACCGGTTTCAAAAATACCGGTAAATAAAGGTTAATACCGGTTTTTAGTAAAGGTTTCGTTCGGAGCGCGTCCGTAATGAAAGCGGTATCTAAAAACCTTAAACCGGTTAAATCCAGAACGACACGTGCACGCGTCGGTATCGCTTCAAGTTCGTTTTGTTTGAACTAATCAAGTCACAGCTTGTTAATGCTCAGAGATTGATGGATTTATTGACACGTTTGCTAGCGTCTAGTGAGTCACGTTATTCATTTTGTAGTTGTGTATTTATTTCAGACGTCAGTAAGAGCGCAATGAAACCCTTTGAAAACCGCTAAGTTGATTCAAAACCGCTTTTTAGGAAAACCGGTTTTTTTAAGGTTAAGGTAGAGCCAAACCTATATTGGCTCTACCTGAACTTTAAAAAAAACGCTCCTAATGTACTTGACACTGATTTAGGTTTGAAAATTAACCTGTAAACAAGTCCTGTGGCAAACAAGCGAACGGCCCGCCTGATGGTAAGCGGTCACCATAGCCTTTAGACCTTTGGTATACCAAAGACCCAATATCCTACCTCGAGGATCTCGATGGCGCAGGTGGTTAGCGCATTCGGCTGCGATCGTTGAAGTTAAGCAACTTTTGCAGTGGTCGGTCATTGGATGGGTGACCAAACACCTTCTATCTCGAGTTCCTCCGTGCTTCGGAAGGCACGTTAAGCCGTTGGCCACGGCTGCATCTGCAGTCGATAGCACCCGCCAATCCGCACTACAGACGATAGAACGCGCTTAGTGACGCCACGTCATGGAGTGATTGAAGAGGCTCAAGGTGTTTAGTCACCTCCTCATCGCCTATGATGCGGATCGCGCGCCGCTGTAACCTATCCAAAGCATCGAGCAAGTACTTGGCGGAGCCATCCCAGAGGTGCGAGCAATAGTCCACGCAGGACCGCACTTGCGTTTTGTACAACAAGCACATTTGATCGGGCGTGATAAAACGCCGTACCTTATTCAGGACTCCGAGTTTGCGTGAAGCTGTTTTGATCACGGTTTCGATGTAGTCCTTTGGATTCAGGTCTGAGCGAACTTCCATACCGAGCATGGAAATGATGCTCTGTAGCGGTAGTGTTGTGCCCTGAAGAGAGGGAAGGGGAAGGAATGGCGATGTTTTTGCCGTGAAAGCGCAAGCCTGAGTTTTCTTGGCATTGACCTCAACCAAGTTCCTGGTACCACATTCGGAAATGTGGTCCAAAGCCTGATTGAGTTCAATGACAAGATTCTCCCGTTTCTCCTTGGTTACCGCCTGCCCAGCCGCTGCTTGTCCGAGATACCCCGCATGCACTGTACTATCGTCTGCATAGCAATGAATATTCCCAAGAGGAATCAAGTCATTGATATGCAGCAGAAAGAGAGTGGTGGATAGGACGGAGCCCTGGGGAACGCCGGCATTCACTGACATGAACCGCGAACTGCTACCATCCGTAAGGACACGAATTCTACGCTCATGCAGGAAGTCAGCTACCCAAGAACAGAACTGGGCTGGCAGACCGTTTGCCGGAAGCTTGGAGAGAAGGCTTTTGTGCCAGACCCTGTCGAACGCCTGGGCAATGTCAAGGCTGATACCCAACGACTCGCCACGCTTGTCGATAGCCTCACCCCAGATATGAGTTAAGTACGCTAGAAGATCACCCGTCGATCGTTTCGGTCGAAAGTTTGTGAGTGTGTATGTTTGTTACTTCTTGACGTCTAAACGGGTAGAGAGATTTAAATAAAATTTGGTATGGAGTTAGCTGACACCCAGGATTAACAAATAGACTGCGTTTTACATGCGGGAAAATATCCCTAATAAACCGCGGGTAACACCACGGGGTACAGCTAGTAAATTATAAATGTATGAATGTATACTTGGTTATTCCTACCTCCTCTCCACCGTCGGACAAGCTCAGTTCAGTTCTGGTGGTGGAGTTTGAGCTGTCCATTTCATTCCATGCGCTGTAATGCATCACCCCAGCCGTGGGCGGTTCAGAACTGGTGCCATCTGGAAGAAATGTATTTATTTAAGGACAATTTACAAAACACACACTGAAACATGTTAAAGTTACCATGCTTTTACAATAAAAATATGTAGTGTGGTCTTAATTACAAACTGCCACGACAAGGACTAGTCATTTCGGGGCATTTTTATAAGTTACTTATTGTTAATTGAATATAATATAAATGTTAAGTGGTGGTAAAGTCCAGACGCGATGATAGCTGATGCAGCAATTGTAAACTGCCACACCAATAATACTCAGCTTGCCGGTCTGCAGAAATGTTTCTTCACATCTCTTTTAGAGGACCCCAGATTGTAGGAAGGAGGGCATACGTGCGCGGGCAAAGAATTTCACTTGCGAATAGTACGACAAATAAATGTGTCACCAAATTTCCTTATACGCGTTGGTGTCGCCGCACACGGGCCATTGACCACAACTACAAAACGCCGCCACCGGCATATTTCTTGTAGTTTTCATACATTTTACGCCACACGCTACAAATCGTCGTTGCTCGCTTCTTGTGGCCCGGACCGGCCACTTAATACGCCGATACAAAACGCCGCCACACGTCACTCGCGCGATTCCCCAACCCTCTCTCCCTTGCCTTAGTCGGCCGCTGTCGCGCGCTTTAATCACTTTAGTAGCCGCTTCTAGCTTCTCGTGGCGGCGTTTGTGGCTGTGGCGTGTGGCCCGTGTGCGGCGACACTTGGAGTAGTGACCGCAGTCAGTCGATGACAACGTAGGCCAGCGCGCGTGTTCCTTTGAAGAAAAGGGGAAGGTGGAATAAGGGAGAATAACTCCTCAAAACAGTCTGACATGAACATAAACCTGCAGCTAAAGGAAAAAGGAAGACGAGATAAAGGAGAATAACTCCTCAGATCAGTCTGATATAAACATGATACCTTTCCTGAAGTTCTCTTTCCTCGCTCTGCCTCCGTCGTCACTGTTCCTTCTTGAAGACGCCTCGCTGTGGCTGGTTCTCAGTCTTTCGCTCTCGAAGGTGATCCGGTCCAGGACCGACTGGTTGATCTCCAGGTTGTCCACCGAATGGCCCACCCTCGCGGGTATGTTCTCCAAGCCTGGAACAATATTAATTTAATTAGTTATAATACATAGAAGCTATTAAATAACAACTACTCCATATCTAAAAACTTAAAATAAAAATTACCTTTAATATGAAATTGGTGCCAATTCTGGCGTGATTCTCTAAACTTAAAACAGAATCAGTCTCTCCTTTTCATTCTGTTTAGAGAATGACAAGGATATACTGCCGTCAAATTTCGTGACACGTTTAGTTACATGTCACGGCAGCATTATGCTGAGGCAGAGTCCTGATTGACCAATATGATGGCTGTTAGGTTTATAAATGTGTGTAATGCTTACTTTTTATATATGTTTTTTATTTTAGTAGTTTATAATTATATGTTTGTGTTTTATTGGTCAATAAAATGGTTCTCTCTCTCTCAAATTTAAGTTTAGCTTTAGAGATTCATGCTAGAATCGACACCATTACCTACTTAAATAATATACATATAGTTTACAAAGTAAGAAATATATCATCCTCAACGCTGCGATCAGGAATGGTGCCCATTAAGCTGGCAGCACTTTCACGTTGAATAGCAAAGCTAGTCCGTTGACCAAGGTAGCTGCCAGCCTTTTGATCACCAAAAACCTGAGTGCATTTTATTAGTTATATTATTTCATTAAAAGCATTTAAGATAAGAGAAGTAGAGCATAGTGGATTTTCTGCTCGAATTGGAGCGCCTTTCTGCGGTAGTAATCTCCACCGTACAGACGATCACGGTAAATTAACACTACCATTTGGAGGTGTTGAATTTCTGTCGTTAAGTACGGTTTTAGAGCTCCAAGGCATGAAGAAGTAGGGGATCGGGTTCAGGTTGGCAAGGTACGGATGGCTGGCTTCTGCGCCGTCATCTATCTTCTGCCGCGTCATCTATCTTCTGCCGCGTCATCTATCTTCTGCCGCGTCATCTATCTTCTGCCGCGTCATCTATCTTCTGCCGCGTCATCTATCTTCTGCCCCGTCATCTATCTTCTGCCACGTCATCTATCTTCTGCCGCGTCATCTATCTTCTGCCCCGTCATCTATCTTCTGCTCCGTCATCTATCTTCTGCCGCGTCATCTATCTTCTGCCCCGTCACGTATCTTCTGCCACGTCATCTATCTTCTGCCCCGTCATCTATCTTCTGCCCCGTCATCTATCTTCTGCCCCGTCATCTATCTTCTGCCACGTCATCAATCTTCTGCACCGTCATCTATCTTCTGCCACGTCATCTATCTTATGCCATGTCATCGATCTTCTGCCCCGTCATCTATCTTCTGCCGCGTCATCTATCTTCTGCCCCGTCATCTATCTTCTGCCCTGTCATCTATCTTCTGCCGCGTCATCTATTTTCGCGACTGGAATCTTCTTAAACCTAACATTAGGTGGGATGGGGTAATTTGTTGCGCCTCATATAAAAGTATAGAATGATCCATAAATAGGATTATAGTTCACTACTCGGGCCAAGAGATTATAAGAGTATGCTAACAAGTGCTCATAAAGCCAGAACTAACAACTGAAGTTGCGTACTGTAGCACGGCATGGTGGAGTTAGAGATTGTAAATTTGGTCACCCATACTAAGACTAACACTGAGGTAGTTGCTTCCACGATCGCGAGCTGAACAAGCTACCCATTGCATCTGCAGTCGTAAGACCTCGAGAAAATTATTTTTTGTAACCCATCCAAAGACCGACCTATGTGGTGGGTCATTGCCCGATCTTCCAATGGATCGGAATAGCACTACTTAGTGGGGATATATTAGGCTGGTGATGATGACACTCCTTATTCCTCCTCCTGATAAGGAAAAGCTGTCACCGATAACATGGCAAAAGAAGCTGTTCCTAAGGTAAACCTTCTGCTCACACCTAAATTAATCAGACACCCTATACAAGCCTTGAAACAAATTGTGGATATACTCACGGCTATTTAAATGAACACTTTTGTAATATAGGTATTACTGAAAGCCCTCTGTGCAGTCTGCCTGGAGGTGGAAGAGACGAGCGCCCGTTAAGAGACTGTTGAGAGACTGTTGTGATGGAGTGCTGAGGCGTTGTAAGACAAAGGACTTCTCGAGTGGAAAATCCACGAACACTAGAAGAAGCCTGAAGCAACATCCAAAGACTGCTGGGCTTTCTGGGGGAGCCGGGATGACATGTTGTCGAGTTGCGGAAACCGTAAGTCCACCGTACTACTAATAAAATCTTTATTCTATCCATAGCGTGCCCCAGCATTGGGGGCATTAAAAGGCTGTTCATCGCTATCAGCCTATTAATGACCCCACTGCTGAGTCACAGGCTATTCCATTCATAGGGAAGCCTATGAATGGAATAGGGAGCTTGGGCCATGACCTACCACGAGGGCTCAATGCGGATTGGTAGGTGCTAACGACCGTAGATGCAGCCAGGAACAACTTCTTAACGTACTTTCCGAAGCACGGAGGAGCTCGAGATAGGAAATTTCTGGTCACCCATTCAGTGACTGACCACTGCAAAAGTTGCTAAGCTCCTCAATAGGCTGTAGATGATAATATATTGTTTAACACCCATCCAATAATACCTTGATCAAACTTGTCAAGTTGTGCGAGAATACGTGGCGCCCTCTGCCGTACGCTGACGATCTTCTTGACTGCCACATCCTCCAGGCCATTTTCCATCGTATATCTGCAAATAGTAGCAACACGTTAACATTGCTAGTAATTATTAATACTGTACCCTTAGCACGAACCAATATCGAATTCGAATAGTTTGCGAGTGCGAAGTGTTATCGTGTAATTATATATGAAAACTTTAACAGCAGCGCCGTAATGTACTATCGCGGTATTTTGCGCTCTGTCACTTGGCGCACAAAATGCTTTGAACGGTTTTCTGCAGTAGTTTTTACTACGCCCCGCCTTCGCGCACAAAAGTAAGACAGAGAGCATTTCATTGATTGAATAATGAATTGAATTGCATTTGTTTTAGTTGCAATTTGTCATCCGCATCGTGATCGCGACAGCGCTATACGACAAAGTAAGACAGCGATAATTACATGTCTATGAATGAATTTTTACTACGCCGCTACCGCAAGCGATTATGGCATTATGGGTGACAGAGCGGGTCTTTCCGCAAGTGTACGTAACGAGAACTAATAATCAGAACATGTTTGACAATGACATTTCACACTCGCAAACTATTCGAATTCGATATTGGTTGGCGCTAAGGGTACTGGTGTTCCGCTCCGGCTTTAGTGTAGGCTCTGCCACTTAGGAATATAATCTGTGGGTCACAATGGTGACAAGACAAGGCAAGCAAAGCGCAGGAGCACTATTCCTTTTCTCAAAGCGCTTCGTCGCTTTTTGTACCCTTATGCCCTTATAACTTCATCATCAGCCTCTTAATGTCCCCACTGCTAGGCTACAGGCGTTCCCTATGGATAGAATAGGGAGATTGGGCCATGACCCACCACGCGGGCCCAGTGCGGATTGGCATGTGCTAATGAATGCAGATGTAGCCGGGACCAACGGATTAACGTGCCTTCCGAAACACGGAGGAACTCTCTCGAGTTCCTATAGAAGATTTTTGGTCACCCATCCAATGACGGACCATTGCGAAAGTTGTTTAACTTCGACGATCGCAGCTGACCGCGCTAGCCACCGGCGCCATCGAGCTCCTCCACGTTTATAACTTGGGCTTGGATTATACCAGAGAAGCAAAACTCGGGATATGTTTTCAATAGCAAACTTATGGAACTTTAATCCGCCTTATTATAAAACTTAGACTAAAGTTAAACCAGGATCAAAATTGATGCTATCACTTTTGTTTGCTTAAAAGAAGACAGAGACAACAATAGGTTTGAAGTGAGGCTATGTAGAATTAGAAACTTTTTTTTTTTCTTTTTAACAGTTATATATTTAAACTAGCTGACCCAGCGAACTACGTACCGCCATAAAAAAATTTAATTAAAAAAACATTGTCCAGCGGGCAAAATTGTGAATCTAAACCATTCTCAGATCCCCTTGAACACACACAAAAAATTTCATCAAAATCGGTCCAGTCGTTTAAGAGAAGTTCAGTGACATACACACTCACAGAAGAATTATATATATAAAGATTAATCTATTTCATCCTATCATTAGTTATTGTAATAATTGATTTCGACATGCTGTTTGTGTTTTTTGACAATTACTATATAAAAAAAAATACTACCTATACAAAAAAATATTTCTATTTTCATTTTCTTTTCTTATGATGTTCCTTGTTTATAAAGTTTTGTAAGTCAGTAAGTTTGTTAATTAATAAATAAATAAATAATTTACTAAAATAAATAAAAAAATAAATTAAGGTAAATTAAATGTAATAATTACTGACATATAATAACGCCGTTAAATCTAATGTGTACGTAATGAGTTTCTGTAATAGGCCTTAAGATTATATCTATATTTTATTGTATTAAATTTCACAAAAAACCGCTGTAGAAACTTTGTTAAAGATAAATAAATAAATAAATTAGGTTATAAAGAAGGTGCGGCCGAACAGTCAATGACCAGAAAAACAAAATTTACCGAATCAAAACGAATGTATGTAATTGCATGCTGCCGCGCCATCGATTCTTTGTTAGCCATCCCCTCGAGGGACATTACGACGAGCATGTATGTAAGTATGAGCTCGATGGCGCAGGTAGTTAGCGCCTTCGGCTGCGATCGTTGAAGTTAAGCAACTTTCGCTGTGTCGGTCATTGGATGGCTGATCTAAATATCTACTATCTCGAGTTCCTTCATGCTTCGGAAGGCACGTTAAGCCGTTGGTCTCGGCTGCATATTTTTTTTATATCTGACATATAGAAATCTTGTAATATTAATATGTTGACATTGTATATTATTTTATTGAATGTTAGGTAACTCTGACATTCGTAATTGTACAGAAAAATGTTATAATTAATTAATCTCTTTTTTTATTGGTTCCATTTTATGTATTTGCATGCTATTTTTAAAATAGCAAAACACGTGCTCAATCCGTTATGTAATACCTATATACCGTGTTTTTAGCAAATAAAGATTACGATCTAAAGAAAAGTTTACTAGAAAAAAACCCTTCGCAATCCGGGTGAATGCACTGACCATTATTATTAGGGCAGTGGTAGCATAATTGGTCAGTGCATTTGCCGGGATTGCCTGGTCCGCGTGGATTTTTTTCTAGTAAACTTTTCTTTAGATTTAAACATCTAGCAGTTAAATGCTTAAAAATAAATGAAAACATAAAGATTATTATTATGATTATGATGCATCTGCAGTCGTTAGCACCCGCCAATCCGCACTGGGCCCTCGTGGTAGGTCATGGCCCAATCTCCCAATTCAATCCATAGGGAAGGCATGTGCCCCAGCAGTGGGGCATTAATAGGCTGATGATGATGATGAATGTCATTGCATGCGCCTTCGCAACAGAGAATGCAATCAAAGAATGTTTGCAATCCCCTCGAGGGGCATTATGACGTGCATGTATGTAAGTAACTATGTGTTTTTTTTAGATCACAGTCGGTAGTTTAGTTTTGACGTAAATCGATAACATCGCGTGTCTGTCTCGTTAACCGTTCGTTCCCGGTTCGATATGCTATGACACTCGTATGTGCATGACGTCACATCGCTGTCTACGATATGTCGGTGGTCTACGCAGACGAGGGACTTTTTGAAGTGAAACTTCTTTAGGCACGCTTGACTTGGGAGGTAAACTGGCGAATGTGTTACGATTTCGCGTTACGATTAGTGTCATCGGTGACTCATCGGTAAACAATGAACAATATCCGTCACAAAATACATGAATGTAGTTAGGGCTGCCATCCGTCCGGGTTTCCGCGGATTTGTCCTAGTTTACGGGGCGTCCGGGGAGCGTCCGGGCGGGGTTTTATTTGTAGTCCGGGTTTAAAATTTACGGCAACGCATGAGTGGCCCTTGGTGCTGCAAGTGTCCATGGGCAGCAGTGACCACTTATTATGAGGTAGACCGCTAGCTCTTTTGCCTAGATCAACATAAAAAGTTGATTTGTGACATTTTTAACTGTTTTTTTTTTGGTCTGTCTGTTCTGTTATCACGCGTCTTATCCTGGTTGCCACATTTTAGAGATGGCAGCCCTAAATGTAGTGCTTGTTGGATGATAACGGACCCAGCGCGGATTGGTGGGTGAAAATGGACCCAGTGCGGATTGGTGGGTGATAACGGACTCAGCGCGGATTGGTAGGTGAAAATGGATCCAGTGCGGATTGGTGGTTTTTTTGCTATCAACAAATCTTCAGGTTAAGTTTATGATTTTCGGATCACTGGAGAAGCTTCATGCTAAAGAAGTTTCACCACAGTCGTGTGTGTGGTCATAAGCACACACGCATTATTTTTTGTTAGCCGAAATAGACCGCTTACATCTGCATCGAGTAACGCACTCGAGGAATAAAATTACCTCATACAATAAGGCACCCTAACGACCGTGGACAACCAGAGACCAGAGAGCACAAAAGTACGAGGGTCTCCTAAATAAAATAGATCTCAGGCGCAGGAACAGATGAAGAGAGTTGAAGTTAATATAAAATATAGAAACCTTCAGGCGCTTTGCAGACGACGGGGCGGGGCGGGCTTTTTGTCCGCGAAGCAATAAAAACCGCGTCTGCCCGTCGATGTCTGCGGCTGCCCTCGCCGAGTACACAAAGCACACGACGGGCAGAGGCAGTCAGTTCAGGACGTTCGTTCTAGTGTATAGTCGATCACTAAAAAGCGCGTGGCGCGGACTGAGTTAGCCGCCCCGCGCCGCCGTCTGCGTTACTGCATATAAACGGGTTTGTATGATCCACGGCGGGCAGCCGCGGACATGCCGTCCCGCCAGTGCCCGCCGGGCAGCTGCGGCGCGGTCTTTTTGCCCTCTGTGTGCGTTTGTAGTATAGGATTCACTTTGTGCTATCGTTCGCGGCGAAATTGACCGGCCCGCTCCGCCCCGCCGTCTGCAAAGCGCCTCATTGGTTTATGAACCGCAACTCTGCCCTGTCAATAGCAGTGATGACGGGGTAAACGAAATTCTATTTAGTCCGTTAGTTAGATGATCAAAAATTAATGGACACGTATTTTTTCTTTGGGCAATCAACCAAAAAATGACAAAGTTATAGCGCGTCAAAGTTTGGGAGTAGGGGCTCGTGATGTCACTTTACTCAAACGTGACGTCATGCGACTTTTCAAATCAATATATCTCTGTAATGTTTATATTATGTGAAAAAAGAAAAAATACGTGTCCAATACTTTTTGATAATCTACCTGATAAACGAAGAAAAAAAATTGTCATCATTCCTATTGACAACAAGCTACATATACAATTCCATTATTAAACCAGTTTGGACTTATGGGATACAGTTGTGGAGCACTGCTTGCAAAAGTAACATTACTTGCCTGCAACGAGTTCAAAATAATATCCTCAGAACAATAGTAAATACAGCATGGTTCACAAAAACTGACGAAATTCATGAATACTTGAACATGGCCATTGTCGCAGAAGAGATAGACAAGTGCAAATCGAGGTACACTGAGCGCCTCTCTAACCATTCAAATCCTTTTATATGCTAATTGCTTGAGCAAGCTAACCGCGTCTCGAGACTGAAGAGGAAGAATGTTCTTTAAAGGAAGTGGTAGCGCTGGCCGACCACTCC